GTTTTGGTTCCTGAGAGATTCCGCAGGATCGCTCTACTTTAAGGTAGCGAGGGAGCCTGTCTGACTTCACAGGGACGGGGTCTTTACAGCTGTGTACAGTTGTGATAGAGAAGATAGAAGAACCGTGTCCGGAGCAGCTGGAGGGGTGAACACTGCCCTTGTGGTCAGCTGCCAGCGCTTCTCCCAGGGCACCATGAGGGCTTCTTCCCTTTTGCACAGCAGCCCCCCACCCATCCAGACCAGAGGCGCTCACCGTTATTTTCTCTCTCCGACACTTCTAGGGCATGGAAGACATTCTGCGCTGCTTCATCAAAGAAGGCAACGCGGAAACGATTCGCCAGATAGAATTCATCATCAGGCAGCTCAACACCGGTCAGTCCACACCAGAAACAGCGCTCATAGAACACTTTCACGGTGGCAGGACATTAGAAGGGTTCTTTGGACGTTGGAGTCCTTGGCAGCAGCTTTAGCTGGTGGCGAGAGGCGCCAAGGCCTGAGGGTAAAGTGAGACCCAAAACCAAACCAAGCCCCCTGCCATCGCATTGACGCCGACTCGTAGCCACCTCACCACCTGCCCCTGCCGGTTCCTGAGGCCGAGAGTGGCCGGTGGAAACTGCTGACTTTGTGGTTAGCAGCTCCTGGGTAACCCAGGGCTCCTGGGGCTGACCCAGGCGACCCCAAACAGGTGCTCAGCCAAGCAGCCCAGGTTTCTCCTCAGACTTGGGACATAGAGCCAGCAGACAGACCCTAAGCCATTCCAAGACCCTTCCGCCCGCCCTCCTTTACTCCTGACTCCTGCCCACTTTGCAAGGGCCCCCCCCCTTTCCAGGGACCCTTGGATTTGAGCATGGGAAGAGGTGACCCTCTTTCTAGCAACATGGCAAAATAACTGGTGGAAGAAATCTGCCATCCACACACTCTAAAAACCACTCAGTGCTCACCCATCTGGCGTGGGGGGGTGCAGAGGGAAGTCAGGCCTCTCTTGGCTGATCCTGCCTTAGCTTTTAACTTTAGAACCTAAGCAGTACTTTATATCAGGAAACACTGAAAGGTAAACCCCTAAAACTCACTGCACTGCCGTCGAGTGGGTCCCGACTCACAGCGACCCTGCAGCACAGGGCAGAGCTGCCCGGTGGGCTTCCAAGACGCTGACCCTCCACAGGAGCAGACAGCCCTGTCTGTGCCCCATGACACGGCTGGTGGGTTTGAACTGCTGACCTGTTTTGAGCAGCTCAGTCGGTAGCCTGAAACTGCTTATCCAGTTGGTGGCAACCACACTGAGAAGGGTGATTGTAAATGGAAACTCGTCACGGCACCCACTGGGTCCTATTTACAGATCCCAAAGAACAGAGGGAGACAAGGACTTACAGGCCGTCCCTCAGTGGGTGTGTCACCGGCAGTCACAAGGGGTTCTCTTGAAGCTGTTACATATGAGGGGGCTTCAGAAAGTTAGAGGAAAAATCCACCTTCTTATTACTTAACTTTTTGAGGCCCCATGTGCGTGTGACACGTGTGCACTATGAGGCGTCAAAGAGTTTATGGGAAAATTCCATTTTCTTTACATTCCATTTTTAAAATTTATTTTATTTTTTAATCAATCATTTTATTGGGGGCTCTTAAAAATCTTGTAACAATCCATCGTTCAGTTGTATTTAGCACCTTGTACATACGTTGCCATCAACATTTCCAGAACATTGTCTTTTTCTAAACAAGTTTCTGAATGCTATGTTTTCTACCCGTCCCCCTGACCCAGCCCACCCTAATTCCTGCATACCGGGGTGGGAGTGGGGGGGGCTGCAAAAAAGTAGGGGGAAAGACCTACAAGAATTCATTTCCCAGTGCCACTGAATACCCCAAGTCCATTTCCCACCGAAAGCAGCCGGTGCTCCCGGAAGAGCTGGCTGGCTCTGGGTTTGAGGTCGGGAACAAACAAGGTTAGTACAGGACTTCTTTTGGTGCCAGACGACAAGAAGTCCCACTAAGACGGGCAGCTGAAGGGCACTGCCCGAGGACCCAGGAGCTCGTCCAAGCATGGACTCCCCACAGCCAACAATACGTTCACCCAGGCTCCACAAGGAGTAATCACTTCCCTGGAGTGGGAGTCATTCCACAGCTGGAGAGCAGTGAGCTCAATTGTGTTACTTCGCGGTGCTGAGGCACCAAGCACCCATTCCGGAAATTGATAAGGGGAGGGGGCTGGGAATCAAACATTCTCCTGCCTCTCCTGGGACGTTTTTCCAGAATGCCCCTGCTAGGAAAGTTCTTCTTCATCAGAGAATGCCGGCTAACCAACACTGAAGACCTGCTACAAAACCATCAATTTATGCAGTTCTACTGAAATAATGCATCTAACCAGTGGCGTCAGGCATGGCTAAAACCAGTAGGTGCATATGTGCTGGGGAAGTTTACAATGCAGGACCCCCTGATTCATCCTAGTAAGGGTGAGCCAGCTGGACACGTGCCTCCCACTGTGGTGAAATAGGAGGTACAGATGCCACCGCCGAAGTGCTCTTGCCTAGTCCAATCAGACCCAGTGCAGATAGGAGAACCCCAAAGTTCTATTTTCTATTCCTCCCCGCCCCCCAACCCCAATAATTCCAGTAGATCTGAGGACTTTAACCTAGAGGTTGGGACCAGAGAGGGTCCCGCCTGCCTGGTGGAGCCGGAAGGAGAAGAAAGAGTCAAGCCTCGAAAGATGGACAAGCAGAGATGAGCAGCCACGTGGGAGCTCTTCCACCGTCTGAGGGCCAGGCCCTGCTCCAGGGCTCAGCGAGGGGCCCAGCAGACACTAGTCCCTGATGAGTGGATAGAGAGAACAGGTGGGCCCCGGGAAACTGACATTATTGGCAATTCCAGAGCCCTGTCCCGCCATCTCATGGGATGTGCCACCACTCCGGAAACTGGTGGATGTCCCGAAAGCCCCAGAAAAGAGGAGCTGAGGTTCTTGTGCTCACGGAGGAGCCCTGGTGGCACAGTGAGTGTGTGCGTGCTTCCCGGTAACCAGAGGTCGCTGGTTCGAACCCACCAGTGGTGCTGCTGGAGAGAGATGAGGCAGCCGCTTCCAGGAAGAGGATAGGAGTGTGAATCCACAGGCTGGGCCAGAGGCGTGGGGAGAAATGGGAGCTGGGCAGCAAGCGGCCCTGAGGTCGGACCAGAGGTGACCAAGTCCCGGTGGGTGAGGTGGCAACAGAAATCAGTGTCCTGGTGGCCAGTGGTGCCCCTCCATCCAGAGTGAGCACTTCCGGTGCCCTGTGTGGACGCGAGGAGCCCTGACCTCCTCGGAGCAGAGGCTTCCACTTAAGCTCGCTCCTTGGGAATGGAATGTCCCACTTAGGAAAGCCCTCCTTCATCAAAGAATGAAAATCCCATACCAAGCCCAACGCCATGGAGGCGATGCTGACTCGCACAACCCTGTGGGGCCGCCTGGAACAGCCCGTGCCTTCCCAAGACCCTAACTTGACGGAAGGAGAAGGCAAAACCCGACTGCCTGCGCCGAGCCCCGTGCGCTTCCAGGAGCAGCGAGGTCGGTGTTTCTCCCGGGGAGCTGCTGCTGGTTTTGAACTGCCAACCGTGCGGATCACAACCCAACGCCTACCTGCTGCACCACCAGTGGAGAGCCTCGTCTTTCTCCCGCAGAGCGGCCGGAGGTTTCCAGCTGCATCCCAGCGTGTGACCCCTCCGCCCCAGGGCCCCGCTGCCCCCACGTGCTGTCCCGTGAAAGGAGGGACCCTTGCTGCAAGGCCCGAGGGCGTGTCCCGTGCTTACTCTCCTTCCCCTAAACCAGAAGGCCACACGCATGGCCACCAAGTCGGACTGTGACCCAGCGCCGCCACAGGCACTGGAGAGCCCCGAGAGCTTCCAAGGCTCATGTTCCCCAGCAGACAGCCAGGTCTGCCTCCCTCGGAGCCGCTGGTGGGTCCAACCGCCGCCCTGTTGGGAGCAGGCGGGTGCTTAACCCCTGTGCCACTAGGGCCCCTTTCCTTGCCCTGCGCTGCCCCTTCTACTTCGTATGAGAGCCCACCTCTGACCTCACGAGCCACTTCCTAGGAAGGGACCTGGTACCATGAGGACATTTGAGGCGTAAGTAGGCGCAG